TGGCGCACACGGTATTGGATAGCCACTGGGGGAATTGTACCTCCTTGATAGAACTTGCCCCCAACAACTTATCCACCTCTTCATCCACAGCCTTCGCGTGATGAGGCGCCGTTCTCCGGACCTTTTGCTTAATGAGTTAGAATGAAGGATTCACATAGAGCCGATGAGTCATCACCTCGACAGTTATCCCCAACATCTCAGCCTGGGTCCACACAAAGACATCGACATTTGTGGCGTAAAAATGAGGCCATATTATTTCTCTTTGCGTCACTGAGTGACTCCCCTATCAAAAAGTACTTCTCACCACTATCTGGGCTCAGAAGAATCTTCACCAAGGCCTCAATAGACCTATTGGTCGGCTCTGTAATGGGGCCATCCACTCCCGGACGATCGCTCTGTGATTGCTATTTGGCAACCACCGCATCGGGATCACGCTCCTAACTCCGGCGGCTAACTCCCGTTTTCACTGCGGCATAGAAACAGCTTTTCACTGACGCCTGATCATCCTGGATTTCCATTATGCCCTGTGGTGTTGAGAACTTTATCTTCTAGTGATAGGATGAGTGTACCACTTTTATTGCATGCAACCACGATCTCCCCATAATAACGTTGTAAGGAGAGTCGGAGTCCACTACCCAAATTTTACTGGCGTGGTCACCACCCCCGTCTGTACCATGAGGGTAATTTTTCCAAGGGACAGGGCGCTGGAACCATTGAAACCGATGAGGGGGTTTTTACGGGTTCCAGATCCGCCTGAGAGAGTCCATCTTGCGGAAGGGGTGATCGTACATTACCTCGAAAGAACTGCCCGAGTCTACCAAGATCCTCTTGACGTCGAACTTCCCGACCCTCAAAGTGATCACCAATGCATCCTCATGGGGGAGGACTACCCCGCCGAGATCAACATCAAAAAACTGGATAACTTCGGCACCGCTCCGTGGCTTCTTGGGTGGCCGCTCATCACCCCTTTCGCCAACTNTACATTACCTCGAAAGAACTGCCCGAGTCTACCAAGATCCTCTTGACGTCGAACTTCCCGACGCTCAAAGTGATCACCAATGCATCCTCATGGGGGAGGACTACCCCGCCGAGATCAACATCAAAAAACTGGATAACTTCGGCACCGCTCCGTGGCTTCTTGGGCGGCCGCTCATCACCCCTTTCGCCAACTTGATTGCTTGAGAGACCCTTTGTAACTCGGCGCGGGAGGGAGTTATATGTAGGCCTCTCCACTGTGCAGGCATGAATAACATCAATCACGGGTGCTACTTCAGCTGGCACCTCTACTCGCTCCCTCGCCGACCCTCCGGGATGACCACTGTCGATGAATTTCCTGAGGTGTCCGTCTCGCACCAATTGTTCGAGGAAGGATTTATAAACCTTGCAATCCTCTGTCAAATGACCGATATCTCTATGATACGAACAATGAAAGGCCGCATTCATTGTCAACGGGTCTCTAAACATCCACGGGGGCCACTTGAAGTAAGGTTTGTTTTTGATTTTGGGAAGTATCCTGTGAATGGGCTCGTTGAAGACCANAATTGTTCGAGGAAGGATTTATAAACCTTGCAATCCTCCATCAAATGACCGATATCTCTATGATACGAACAATGAAAGGCCGCATTCATTGTCAACGGGTCTCTAAACATCCACGGGGGCCACTTGAAGTAAGGTTTGTTTTTGATTTTGGGAAGTATCCTGTGAATGGGCTCGTTGAAGACCATTTTCACTCCTTAGAAGGATAGGCGAGTTGGGGGTGGAATAGGCCCTCCCCTTCGGGCCGGCTACTCCCTTTCCCTTTTTCTCGACACCGTGACCTTGCTTTCTGGCATGACGGCTTCTTCCTTCACCCAGACATATTTGTTAATCCGAGCCATCAAGTCTTTCATGTCCGCCGGAGCCTTCTTAGTCAGCGATTTGTACAAATCAGTGTCCCAGGACAGCCCCAGCCTAAATGATGCCGCGACCAATGCCTCCACCTCGTTCACTTCATCCCAATATCNTAATCCGAGCCATCAAGTCTTTCATGTCCGCCGGAGCCTTCTTAGTCAGCGATTTGTACAAATCAGTGTCCCAGGACAGCCCCAGCCTAAATGATGCCGCGACCAATGCCTCCGAACATGCCTCCACCTCGTTCACTTCATCCCAATATAAGACGGCATATTGTCGGAGTGTCTCTCCCCCTTTCCGCCTAAGCGTCAACACAACGCCGATGTCCTTCGATTTCTTACTGCTGGTATTGAATCGAGCTATGAAGAGTTCTGTTAACTGTTTCCATGACCTAACGCTCTCAGGAGCAAGGTTCTCATACCACCTCATGCCTGTGTCCCCTAGGCTCATGGAAAAAACTCGACACAATACTCTTTGGTCAGTATCATAGATTGACATCAATTGTCTGTATTGTCGAAGGTGGCTCTCGGGATCAGTTTTCCCATCATAGACTTTGAACCGTGGGACGGTAAACTTCTTCGGCATCTCAGCCTCCCTGATAGTCCGGATGAACGGTGAGATAACTTCGTCGAAGCAGACCCCGGGCTCATGGTTGCGCGGAGCGATGAAGGGTACCCTGAGATCCTTTTTTGATCTTTCTCCTCGAGGCCTTCGGGGTATGGACTCCGCTTGTGATTCGGTGGCTCCGACGCCCTCGGGTATCCCTCGGCGCAGGTCCCACCTGGGAAGGTTTGCCTTTTGGCCCAATTTTGACTTTCCCTTGGAGGCCGAGAACACTCCTTGGCGGTTGCATCCCTCGGGCGAGTGCGTAATCCAGTTTTTCCTGGAGGGCCAATGCCAGGGGAGTCTGGACAGGTTCTGGCTAGGCACCTGGTCCCCGAACCCGCGACTATGCTCACCCGTGCTCGCTGACTGCTCAAAATCATCAAGACGTTGTTGGACTTTGGTGTTTTCCCTCTCAAGCTGCTTAATGCGTTTGCCCATCCGCTTTTTCACCATCTCAACGATGTCATGGGCCATGAGGTCACTCCCCTTAAGGCTTTAATCCATAGGGAGCGTTCTTTGCGAAGAAAGCCCCACCCCATCTGATTGGCTCAATGAACCCGGCTCCAGAACCATTAGAAGTCGAACGGGCTCTGAGTTCCTAGCTCGTACACTTGCTCCCTCACCCTGAAATCGAGTGTTCACCATCAGACGATCGCTACCGGGAAAAATGCCTTCGTTCCCACAGACGACGCCAAATTGCACGGATAATTCCTGTAATAGTATGAGACAGCGATCTCTAAGTTGGCGAACCTGAAACAACAAGGTCAGGAAAAAAGGGGTTAGACGAGCCCCCGACTAATCCCCTCCGAAACTTAAGTCAGTATAAGGTCGAAGGGTTTTGCTCAATGGACTATTTTTCTGGTTTAAGTTTGCATATCTTTGTCCATTTTTCTGAGGAGTATTTATACTTGAATTAGCAATGATTGCCAAAGATCTCCAGTCCCATCTTGACATCTTACATTTGACACACCATTCCTCGTGCAATGAGTGTTTTCTACTCACGTCTCCTCCTATTGAATGGTAGAAAAATTGGGTAAATGCTCGGCCAAATGCCGAGCATTTATGCCACTCCCCGAGAACCCAAATCCCCAGATCGGCATCCGACATTAATTGAGCATTGAATACTCGGGGGGAACAGTTCTTCGGGAGAGCCGATCGCATCGTCTCGGCACATCGGCCATTAATGTTTAGCCATCATGAAAGTAGACATAGACTCCCAGAGGACAGGTGCTGACAGACGCACATTTATTTGCTTTGTCAATATCACTCATTCTGTCATAAATGAGGAGTCACATCGTATTAAATACGATATTAACTGCCGTACTCGACTGCTCCATGTCACCATACCTCAGCTTACCTCCTTGACGCCCTTTGAATATCCCAACAATTTTATTATTCCACTTGTCAACCCAAAAGCTGTAAAGCCTCTTAGAGTCCCGCCATATACATAGACATATATATTTGGAGAATTTTTGGTGTATCGGTGGACTTGTGCTCGGCTGTGTCNATTTTATTATTTCACTTGTCAACCCAAAAGCTGTAAAGCCTCTTAGAGTCCCGCCATATACATAGACATATATATTTGGAGAATTTTTGGTGTATCGGTGGGCTTGTGCTCGGCTGTGTCGGTGTATGGAGTTGTGTCCTGTTGTGGGGTCATTGGTAGGTGGCTGTCGAGATTGTTTTCATAAGAGAAAGAGATTGTTTTCATAACCCAAATTCTTCGCCTCTCCTCTCTCCTCCAAAACCCAAATTCTAGCAATCCCCGAAAATCAACCCCNTTTTGGTGTATCGGTGGGCTTGTGCTCGGCTGTGTCGGTGTATGGAGTTGTGTCCTGTTGTGGGGTCATTGGTAGGTGGCTGTCGAGATTGTTTTCATAAGAGAAAGAGATTGTTTTCATAATCCAAATTCTTCGCCTCTCCTCTCTCCTCCAAAACCCAAATTCTAGAATCCCCGAAAATCAACCCACAAAGAATTGGCTCAAAAAGTTGAAGAATTTATGCCCAATCTGTGGTCTTATGAGTTCTATTTGAATTGGAAGGAGTGGATAGTTCCAAGAGGCGCGGTTTTGGTTGAATCGAATGTTGAAAACGATGAGTTTTTTTCTGTTTTGTCTGGGAGGATTGTGCAGTGTGAGGGTTTAATGGAATGTTCGATGAGTTGCTTGTTGAAAAGAGAATCAATTGGTAAGCCTGGTTAGAGTTGGTTCGTACTTGGGTGGAAATGAATCAAAGTTTTGTTATAGTTATGTTGCAAAAATTATGGGTGTTTTATATAGAATGAGGGATGGCGAAAGAAGTGAATTGGGCTTGCTTATGGGTTCCAGTTTGAAGCAGTGTCGAATGTGTAAGGTTTTTGGGTTGTGGTATAATACGGAGGATCAGTCTTTATATGTAGTGTCTGAGAGGTATGGTGGCAAGCATTTGAATGATTGGTTGGTAGAGATGAGGAGATAATGAATTTGGCTGTCAAAGATGACATGCCTACCTTTGCAATTATCGGTATGGAGCTATGTGAGGCAGCTAGTGATTTGCATTCACAAGGATTAATTTTGGGTAGTTTATCTCTCCCCTGTTTCAATGTTGATCATTTTGGTCGTCTTTATATGGATTTTAATGAAGTCATGGTGTTGGGTAGGAGAGTTAGAAAAATGATTGCGGAGGTTGTTAGTATGAAATTAAAATCTGATGACAAAGAATTAGATGTGTGGCTGAAAATGGATGCATTGAAAACTGACGAATTTGTCAGTCCAGAAATGTTGTTAGAGTTGTTACAGAAAGAGAGTGTTGAACTGGCTTCTGGTTGCTTAAGATATGCAGTTGGGTATGGTTCATAAGTTTGGTCATTAGCTTGTTTACTCATTTGCCTTCTTATCAGAAGGTCGTTTACTGAAGAGATGCAGCATTATTATGGTCTTTTCCCTTCAGTGATTGAGGAAGAGGGTTTTGATTATATGGGTTTGTACACAGGCTGGATGGAAAAAGTTATTGGTTTGTTGGAACATAGATTGGGTTCGGAGTTTCTGTCATTAAGATATATTTATCATTTATTTTAACTTTTTTTATATTTTTGGTAGATCAAATAATTTTGTGATCGCATTCTAAAAATATTTTCAATTTAGAACGTGTAAAAATTTGAAGCGTAAAATACATAACTTTTCCTAGCATTTCGCTTAAATAGTAAAATGGTAATCAACAATTTCTAAGCTAAACATGACATAAGATTGGATAGGATTTAAGGATATAATTGTCAATTACTATCAAACTTATGAGATATTTTTAAAAAAAATTATAGTTTATCCACGGTCTCACCACATTATAAATCACTAATTAACTCTGAGAAAGTAATTTATTTTTATTCCACTATTAATCCCGATTATTGAAATTTCGTTGGATTGGTTAAGACTTTAAATCCAATCTACTTCAGTCCATCCGTGATTGCCAAACACCCCCACTAAATTCTCAAATTGTGTCTTTAAACCCTCCGCCTCACGGTCAGTCTCTCAATCCTCTCTCTGCTTATAGCCTCACAACACTTCTCTCTCTCTCTGTATTACAAGCACTTGCTCCAGTTCGAGTTCGCGCAACTCCTCCTTCGAGTTCTTCAACTCCCGACTTTGTAATTATTGCTTTTTATACCTTAGATTGAGCTTTTGTTCTTTGATTTGAATTGAACATGGATCACTTTTCTTGGAATTCAATGTTTTTGGACTATTGTCTGTTTGTGTGACTGTTATTTTTTTTTTATTTTCAGAGTTTAGATTAAACTATTTTGCCGGAGTTAGAAAGCATGGGTAAGATTAATCTGTTCATAACCTAAATATAATTGTTCAATTTGGCTTTATTTTCTGGAATCATGAAGAAAGTTTTTGGTTTTTCTTTGATTTTTTTGATTCAGCCGCAGATAATGAGCCGGCGGTGAAGTCTCGTAAGACGCAAAGAAAAGAAGCTCGGTTAGTGAAGAAGAAGAAAAAGTTTGATTCATGGGTTGGACATCAAGTATAGCACAATTTTTTTGCTTTTTATTTATATTTTTGCCCCATTTTTTTTTTTTTTTGGTAAATGGCGATACTAATTCTTGTTTGTTGCCACAGAAATCTCGAAAAGTGAAGAAATTTTCTAAGAATTCGAAGCGAGTACATGTGAAATTTCAGGACCAAACTGGTCATAAGTTGGATGATGACATGAGTACGTTACTGGAGGGTATTCCTTCTGCTGTTGATTCTTTAGAGAAAGAAGAAACCCTATATGCTGAAGAATCTTCCAAAAAGATCTTGAATAATGAAACTTCACGTAAGAAGCTTAAGAAAAGTAAGTCCATAGAGCAAGAAGTAATGGGTGAGGTGGCAAGTGACACTGTGGATGGAGCATCTGACCTAGTAGATGCTGATCGTGGGAAAAATGATGGCACAGAGCAGCCTACCATGCCAAGCACATCTACGAGTAAACTAGGTTCTACCTCACAGAAGATGCTGAAGAAGAAAACGAAGTTTCAAGAGTATCTTGAAATGGAAATGCAGGTAGGTGTTGTTTCAGCAGACGAAGATTTGGCTTTGGAAAGAAAACTTGCAAAGAAACTCAAGTTGAAGGAAGGAAAATTGCGGGGAGACGATGATGACATGAATGCGTTGTTTGAGGGAATTCCATCTGTTATTGATTCGTTCAAGGATGGTGGTAATTCAAAGGATGAAGAAGTTCTCATGAAGAGCCTTGAGAACAGTGCTTCACTTAAGAAACGTAAAAGGGTAAAGTCTTCAGGGCAAGGGCCACAAGTTGAGATGGCAAGTAACACACTGGCCGGAGTATCTGAACCAGTAAAAACTTCTGATGCAGAGTTGGCTATAAGAAATGTTCCTATCAAGGCACCTGCATTGGAAAAGAGTGCCAAATATGTAGCTCCTCACCTGAGATCCCGTGTGGGAAATGAATCAGAGGAGTACTATCAAATTCGTAAACAGATACGAGGTATGATAATTGGCTTTTTGTGTTGGCATCATGTATACCCCCTTCATTCTGAAATGTGATACATTTGTTACAACTCAACTTGTGGCAGGTCTTCTAAATCGGCTGTCTGAAGCTAACATGGAATCAATCACTGGGGAAATGTCCAGGATCTTCGGTGTAAGCTTTTTCACTTCACTGATACGTTTTTCTCCTCTTTTCAGTTTCTTCAATAGTTGGTGTTTCTTTATTNAAGTTGAGATGGCAAGTAACACACTGGCCGGAGTATCTGAACCAGTAAAAACTTCTGATGCAGAGTTGGCTATAAGAAATGTTCCTATCAAGGCACCTGCATTGGAAAAGAGTGCCAAATATGTAGCTCCTCACCTGAGATCCCGTGTGGGAAATGAATCAGAGGAGTACTATCAAATTCGTAAACAGATACGAGGTATGATAATTGGCTTTTTGTGTTGGCATCATGTATACCCCCTTCATTCTGAAATGTGATACATTTGTTACAACTCAACTTGTGGCAGGTCTTCTAAATCGGCTGTCTGAAGCTAACATGGAATCAATCACTGGGGAAATGTCCAGGATCTTCAGTGTAAGCTTTTTCACTTCACTGATACGTTTTTCTCCTCTTTTCAGTTTCTTCAATAGTTGGTGTTTCTTTATGTACTATTTACCATCAGCATTATTTCCCAATTTTTGGAAGAGAAAACGAAATTACCCAGTGTGATCCCACATATGTTGGGTGCTCAGATGGGTTTGATAATTATACATGATCCCTATGCTTTGTAATTTGCAATTATCAAATTATAAAAAAAATCCTGAACTAAACGTTTGATCCAAGAATAGATCAATTTTGTAACTGAATTAGTATAATGGATGCACCTGTTATGGTGATAAATGTAATCCTAGCATGGAATTGTTTGCCTATGTATCAAGGCTAGATGATGAAGGATTTTTTTTTTTAATTTTTGCATCAAATAGTCCAATTGCCAATAGGATAGTGAGATCGGTCTTGGTGGGATTGAGTGATTTTGTCACATGCGTTGTAGTTTTGCCATTGCACTGATACCAAGCATTTGTTCTATAAATTACCGTGGAAGACGAGCCTGTTATTGAACTCTCATTATTTGCCCCGATTATTCCCATTTGCAGGCTGTTAGTCGCAGTGCTGGTTCTCAGATTATCAGTGAAGAGATTTTGGCATCGTGCTCTGGTGGTCCTCGTGGCAATGAACAGTTGAGAGTTCATTTATTCTTTTCCTCTATTTCTAGTCCCTTTTCTCCTTTCACTTTATTAGGTTTGCATCCCATTCATGGATCATAGCAAGTATATATACAAATTATTTGATGAACATGATACGTTTTTTGTTTGAGCAGTTAATCACTTAATCAAGTTGTTTAGCTGTTTTTTTTGTTCTTATGCCAACATTCAGTGTTTGAATTCGTTCGTATGAATTTCATCTGTTTATAGGCTCTGATAACACTCTTGTAGAACAGCATTATAACAGCTCCAACTTAATCAGAATTTTATTCTCAATTTTTCGGCTCTATCAGGCCCTAGTGTTCATTAGTGATGTTTGAAGATGATTTTGGCTTGAAAAGTCTTGCTTGAGGAGAAGTTGAATTCAACACTTCGTACATCTGTTACAAAGAGCTGATCAATCTAAGAATGACCTTTTGTTGGTGATAGGTGATAAAGATCTTTTATATGAGGGACTGGGTATTTTTTTAGCATCTTATTGAGCTTTAGTCACCAAGGATTTTGAGGAAATCCACTCTTTTGTACTTCGGCAGGATGGAGAGCTTTATGTGCATTACAGTACTATTTTCCCTCTTTACTCTGTAATGCCTTCTTAGTTTTCTTGATGTTTGGTTGGACGACTTGTCCACCATTTTTCATTTANGTACTATTTTACTCTTTACTCTGTAATGCCTTCTTAGTTTTCTTGATGTTTGGTTGGACGACTTGTCCACCATTTTTCATTTACGATGTAACACATTTCTTGAAAAATTGTTCATCTTATATCCCAAAAAAAGAAGAAAAAGATGCATTATATTAAGAATGGGCTTCAATCAGTTACGGAGAACATTTGTGTCACTTCGAATAATTGTATACTCTATTCATATGAAATTGGACAAAATGTAAGATGTGGGGTTCTTGTTTTATCCTATTAGAGCTAGATTACTTTGGAAACTATTATTTTGGTCTTATATCCTGAGAAAATTTTATTAATTCTTAATTTCTTTTTAATATTTATTATTCCAAACTCTGTTTCGCTTTTCTCTAATGGTCTATCTTGGACGTCCATCATGAACCTAGACAGCCAAACCATATGCAACAGGCACTTGTACCAAAAATCAAGAAATTGTGGTTTTCCTGCCGTACATAACATTTAAGAATCTGGCTAACTGCGGCAGGTGACAATGTTTTGCACATTGTTTTCCAAAATTCCATTACAATTTTCTGCCTCATGTCCTTTTCAGATTTTGTGATTGGAAGCTTTTGATACCCTGAATGCTATTTTGTTTGTGTTGCAAATAGCTTTCTAGGATTGACACACTAGGCGTGTTTCTATCACTTTCTAAGGATAGAGCCCGGGTGACTGGTTTCCAATTTGTATGACTTGCCATTGTGCACAGTGATTTAAATAATTATGATTTTTTTTTTTTTTTGAATTCTTGAAAGTAAGTTTTGGGTTTTCTCCTGTAGCTTGACACATTCTGATTTCAGGACTGTCGCTGTCACCGCATGCATACTTCTTCTTCTACATGATTTTTGAAGAAAAATAATGCAATATCTGATTTTGTTTTTTGATGCCATTTGTATTATCTTCTATAGTGTACAAATGGATAGTTGGACCTTTATGCTTTTATTTTTTTTTCTGTTTTTCTCTCTCTTTACGTGTTTGTGCATTGACACTGTCAGGCCTGTGTTTGTCTCTTTTTGAAGGTATGCTGCTGTCTTTGCAGCTTTTGTTGCTGGGATGGCTTGTTTAGTTGGGATGGACTTTGGTGCAAAGCTTCTTGCTTCACTTGCTAAATGCTTTGAGGTGTATCATCATTTACCAAGAACTCTTCATTCATTTTTACTTTTGACAGTATTTGGTTTGCTAATGATTGATCAAAATTTGATGAATTACCAAAAATTGGTATCTAGTAGCATGTGATTAATTTGAGCTTATAGTGCCCATCGCATGTTAGTCTTTTTCTCATAAAGAGAAAAAAGTTCCTTGGTTTGTAGCTCAACTTTTTGGAAAGTTAGTAATATCTTTTTTTTTGTGTTGTGATTAGGATGAGTATCTGGAAGGAGACAATCTTTCCTTGAGAAACCTGACTCTTCTGGTATCCTATTTATACATGTTTGGAGTTTGCTCAAGGTGGGTAACGTATGTCAGTTTGATCATTTGACTAACAGAAGTGAAAGTAATAATTGACTTCAAGAAAGTTGCATAACATAACTCCGGAAGCAGATGTGAAACTTCATGTCGGGTTGAGTCTGCTGATATAACCATCCTCGTAGCAAGGCCAATTTCTTCTCACCGACATTTCCATATGTGTGAACATTCATTAATTTTGTCAGAAATAAGATTAAGCAATCAACTGAAGATGCTACTAATGTTTTATAACTATTTTTTTTTTTGGATGTTTGGGTGGGTGCAGCAGCTTCTATTCTATTACTCCGATTGCCAACATGTGGACTGATGTGTGACAATTGCACCATGTCAAAACAAATAACAACTGCTGTCATAATTATGAAAAGGCATGGAATATGGCACGCCAGTCACTTTGCCTTCTCAGTAACATGCCAAAAACACCCCTATAGGATGATGTCACATAGTGTTATTATTGACTACTGTTGGATAGTTCTACCAAATTTTCTGAGGACAAATAAGTTCATTTTCTTTCTCCATAATTTTTTTTAAAGAAGTGCCAAGGTTGTTAGTTTACCTTTATTGTCCATCAAATTTTGACTTTCTTTCTTTTGTGAAACATGTCCCTTGCAAATGTGCATTCATATTTTACTTTTGTGGTAAAAATCATATGGCAGCAAGTAATTTTCTTCAACAGAGTAAATATTTAGAAAATATAATTCTATTCATCAATAACGGGTCTCCCAAAGATTACTAATTATAAGAGAGTTGACTAGGAGAGCAACTAGGGGTTGAGGGTTGGGGTAAAAGAGCAAAAACGATTTGATTGGACAATTAATATTTGAAGTTATTGGTGCACAATACACCTCTATACCAGTTGAGGTTATACCAGTTTCATTGCCACACCTCTATAATTCTGCTATCCTAATCTAAATAACTCTCTCTGGCTGGGCTGAAAAATTCATTCTATTTCAGTTGTCCCCACCTTTTGCAAGGCTAAATATTTTAAAAAAAAAATGCCAGAACCTTTAGCAGATTGTAGAAATTCTTCACAAGATCCATTAGACTTGACCCAACCCATTATTCCCCTTAATTGTCAGGACTTATCAGATAAGATAGAGAGATGCCATGGCTGCCATGTATAGATAGGGTGTAGAAGATTTCAAGTTTTTTGGATGATACTTACTGCAAAATGTGAATTTGTTGCTCTTTTGCGAAACTGGTAGAAGTTATTTTCTTTTGAAGCGAGATATTGGGCTGACTGTTACTTTCCCTTAATCCAGTTGTAGGAATTGAATACTCTATCATGTCCTTCCTTTCTTATTTAAGCCTTTACTCTTAATTACCATATTGGTTAATATTTTTGCTTGTTTTATCAAAATTCATCTTAAAAACAGCTATGGTGGTGATCCTTTTCAGTGATTTGATATACGATTTCTTGATAATGCTGAGCAAGCGGTTGATGGAGATTGATGTGTCTACTATCTTGACAACTTTACAATGTAAGCGAATTTAAGTAACTTAGACTAGGTTTTTGCTTGTGGTCTTGTTCAAACATCACACATTTCTGAAAAAAGTAAAAAAAATTTAAAAAGATTGTTATTGGTTTTGCTTACGGGATAATAACGCATTCATTATGGATTTTTGATTGAGTAACTATATTACTTCCGCCTGAATAAATAATGCACTTGTTTTTGTTTTCCTCGATAATTATCACATAGCATTTTCTCTCTCTCTCTCATGCACAAACACACACGCACAAACACAGACACACACACACATACTTATGTATGTAGACATATTTCATTCCTCTTTTTTGGAGTGAACGGTCTAAATTTCTATGATCATTATAGCATTACAATACTCTCGTGGTTTGTTAATCTGCCATTTTATTTACTAGTTGATCATCAAATTATCCCTAACGAAGTGTTGTAAACGAAACAGGTTGTGGAATGAAACTGAGGGCTGATGATCCTGCTGCCATGAAAAACTTTATTGTTAGTGTCCACAATAGCGTTAATGAATTGAAGGCTGCCTCTGGAGATGGCGAGTCAAATTTGAGTGGCAAAAGAGTAAGTCCTTAATAAATTCTTGATTACGTATGTGCTTGCTTTTGCTTATCCAACATGATTTTCTTGGTTTCTTGCAGATGGAGTTCATGCTAGAAACCATATGCGATATCAAGAACAACAAAAAAAGGGCCAAAGAAGACACCGTGCAGCATACCCGGATAAAGAAATGGCTGCAGAAGGTCTTACTATAACTTTAGTTCTCTGATTTGACTGTGTTTATAATTTTCTTTTGGAACCAGTTATGGAGCATGACACTCTCTTACAGGAGTTGTGGCCTTGTTTGATGTATGTCAGTACCGGAGTTTGTGGAGAAATGCCTTTTTTTTT